ACTTGTGTTAGACTAGTTTTAAAGTCAGTAAAGTTCTTTGCTATACTTTAAACAACTAAACAGAAAAGCCAAAACAGCAACCTGCTCCTAAGGATCAGCAGCCAGCTCCCAAACTAACTGGCAGGAGTGGCAGCTGCCTCCTTAAGGATTTCAGCAGCCAACTCCCAAAGCCATCTTTTTTTGGCAAACACGTCTGTTAATGTTTAACCCATCTCTCTCATAACTAAAAGGGTCATAACCTCTGTTCTTATACAGTGTCATCCTCTTGTTGTCAAGACTTCCGTTGCATGTATCAATATCTCCCAAAAGATGTTGAAACATATCCAGTTAGAGGAAAAGGGGTTCAAAATCGAAAAAGATTTAAAAGTCTATTCATCTCCCCCCCCCCCCTCTAGACTTTTACCTCACGTGGAACTCAGTTGGTATCAAAGGCACTCATCAGTTTGTTTAGTTAAATGGGGCCTGGCCAAAAGATTTATATGGGCTGAAGGAAATGTCACACCTCCCGGGTTCCAAGGAATTATCAAGTTTGATGTTTCAGCTACAACTTATGTTTTCATCTAATAGTTTGGATTTTATTTGGTTAGTTTTTCAAATTGTTTTTTCTCACTTTGCTTCTGAGAGGTTTTGGTCTAATCCCCTCTCAAGTTTGTAATTGTTACTTTATTAATAAAATCTGGTAAATGTCCACCAGCATTTACCCCACCGATGGGTGGTTGACCTTTCGGGGTTAAAGAAAAGGATAAATGTGCATTAATGATAATCTATTCTGATGTAAAGGCAAAAGAACTTTGAGGAAAAGTGTTCCCGCCTAGAAGTATCAACATCAAGTTTTATTTTAATTTTTCATCAAAATTAATTGCAAAAGAAATGTTGTGTAAAGATTCTAGTTCACTTAAGAAATTAATATTTGTTGTTCGGAAATTCTGTAGTGTGTAAGGTCAAATCATGTTGTGTTCCTATTGGTAAAAAATGAGGTGGGAACATTCACATTAAAAGGGTTGGTGCGCATGAGCTGGGATCGGTCACATTTTCAATAGGTGTCCTGTTGGTTAAAAAAGAGGTGCCACTGTATATCAAGACATAGTTAGTTAGTATAGCTCAGATAGATGCATTCATATTTCGCATGGCTCCAATTAATTGGATAGTTGATTTTGGTAAAAATACTTATTTTGAATTGGTTGAAATGGATGGTGAGAATAGTCAAGTTGTACGTAAATTGTAGGAGAAAACTCGTTGTTTTAAATACTTAAAGTATATTGTTTGAAATGGGTGGTGGGAATAGTGAAGCTCATTGATTGTTTCCAAACTCCTGGCAGGTTGAAATGGACTTTCGGCTATAAAAGCAATGTGGAATTGTGGATGCAAGAAGCTTTTCACATTCATTCGTATATCAAAACTCTAATTGCATAAGACACAAAATATTTCTGTGAAAATGGTTGGAATGTGGTCTATGATTAGGAAGATTGATCAAACCAGGACCACTTGGGCCATAAAGGCCAAAGCAACGAGAGTCTATAGGGAACATGCACATTATGGATTCCCTCCATCTTTGGAAGTCACATTCCATGACGAGGAGGTAGTGTAAATTATTTAGTTTTTTTTTTCCTTTGGTTATTATTGACTTTTAATTGACTGTTTTTATTATGACACGGGTCGAAAATTCATGGACACACTCCCGATCAGTACGTTGACAAGTTTTTTGTCCTATTTAGGGAGGATCGAATTTTTGTTGTTGAAAACTTTATGGTTGGAGAAAATTTCATGTTTTTCAAAACTACAACCAGCACATTCGGGCTCTGATTCTTTAAGGAGAGTGAGGCTTTTGAAATCAAAATTTGTTTCAGATAAGGACATTTTCTTTGGTGTCCTTCGCTGCTTTACAAGCACATGATGCTATTGATGACAAAGGTGCAATTGGAGCATTTTAGTCTAAATCAGTCAATTATTAAAAATTTAAATTTAATTGGTGATCAATTAATATAAAGAGGCCAAATGCAGATATCGTTGGACAAGTCATCCATGATAAAGGTTTGAAGACAATTCTCAAGAATGACCGCCCTAAAAGGTTGAAATTTATCCTTGTCTTCGGATATTTACCATGGACGACTTGTCTAACAATATCTGCATTTGACCTCTTTTAAATTAATTTATCACATAAAGTTAAGTGATTAGGTACCGTATACTACGTATGATTAAGTGTGATAATTCTATCATTCATGTTTGTTAATGTATATGTATATATGTATTTTAACTTATCATATTTATGCAAAAATATAGATAAAAATGTAATTTCTATGTCTCTGACTAGTCCTCGACTAGGCGCCCGCCTAGTCATTAGGGGACTGGCGCCCGACTAACACCTAGCGCCTTTTAGAACATTGCTTTTATCTATATATATAATAGATAATAGATATAGATCCGACTCATAACATAATATTTTTTTGGTTTTTATATATGTTTAGACTATATATTCCCGTTTTCTATATTGAATATTAACATCAAAATTCCATTTTTGCTCAGAATTGTGTCACATCCTCATCTCCAATTTTTTTTTTTGTAGATATGTTTTGTCATAAAAAGTATATGAAAATTCCACTTGTTTCATTAATTTGATGCATCAAAATAGTATTAACCTCTTTAGATGCTATGTATTAATATTGAAAAAAAAAACAATAACCAACACCCAAAAGCATCAAACGGCCCCTAGTATTTTTTCTAGTCCCAAAATACATGAGACACACACCGATCGAGAAGATGCATCTTCACAAGGAGTAGGACTTCTAATCCATGTGTATTATATTGATGTATGAATAATTAAAGAGCTGGCTTTTCCATCGGTTGCATGAAAGTACGTAGCTTTCTTGTCCTATCCCCTAATTTTTTCTTTCTATAGTGACTCTAATTTAGAGAAAATTTTAATAATTTAATTACTTCGTACATATTGTAACACCCCATAGTTACTATTGTCAAACAATTAAATTACTTCGTATTATATTGTAACACGTTATAACACCTCGCCCCGTAAAGCCTTAGGCAGTTACTCTTGGATGCCATACAAGCCTCTAGTTTTGTCCTCACAAATCAACACAAGTCTTACCACACATATTGTGCTCACTCGTGTGAGCCTGAGAAACTTCCCATGGAGTCACTCATTCCAAGACTACTTTCGTGCAAATATACTTAACTTGGAACTCTTAGCTAATGAGCTCCCTTAAAAAAAAAGGAGATGCACTATGTTAGTATCAATAGTACTACCAATCCTTTTAAATTAACTTCAATTATCACAATCACCCCCGCTTGGGACGCAGCCTCCTCGTTGCACTCTTGAACCAATCTCAATCAAACCGCATAATCCTTCCAACAGATTAGTACATTCTTGCACGGTTGCTCTGATGCCACTCGTAATACCCTGACCCGTAGGGTCTGAGGCAGTTACTTCTACATACGCTCCTGACTTCTGGTACTCTCATAAAAAACCAACACAAACCTTTACCGCGCACTTTGTGCTTACTCGTGAATGTTGTAACAAACTTCTCGAGGTGGGTAGGGGGGGTCACTCATCACAAGACTACTCACCTCCAAACACGCTTAACTTGGAGTTCTTTGATAACGAGTTCCCATAAAAGGAGATACACTTTGTTGGTATGAGTAATACTATTAATCTTTTTAAATTAATTTTAAACATTGCATGTATATAGAAAGTTCTATAGTCTTTGGATTAACAAAATGTCATAGGCGTAGGTGGGATTAATATGGGGCATGCAACAACAATAATATAACATCTTTAATTCCTAGCAACATGCATATTAAGTAAGCCAAATAACAATGTAACATTGTAACAACTAAAACAATCTTGAAATTAAACACCAACAAAAAAACTAAATTGCTAGTCAGTCAGTCTGCAGGTGCCGTTGTCACCCGATCCATCATAGTTTCCGCCTTCAAACTCTTCAAGTGCACTCAAGTATTTTTCACTTTGCTATCCCGATCCATTCGCGTCACTTCGCAGTCCAGATCCTTCCACGTCAATTTGCCGTCTGGATCCATCCACATCACTTTGTCGTTTGGATCCTTCAACATCTCGTTGTTGTCTAGACCCTTGCACATCACTTCACCTTCCACCAAACCCTTCCGCCTCTACATCCCTGCTATCGAGATACTGCGCTCATGATTCAACAAAGCCTTTAAAGACACTTTTCATTGTTGTCGGGTTTTCCATGGACATACGTACAAAGTCTTCAAATAACATCTCGTTCTCTTTCAAATTAGAAGACTTCCTCATACTCTCCTTGTTCTCCATACTTTTTACTAAGAAATTTTCCAACGCATCGGTTATTGCCACCAAAGTTGGATAGCAGTCGTGGAGTCTGAGAAATAAAGTCAAATGAAGAACAATATACGAGAAACTCAAGAACACTTACGAGTAGGAGAGATGCATGTGATCTTCAATAACCTCCCTTTTAACTTTGATGGAGTAGGGAAGGACCCCTTTCCTTATTATAACCATCACCCAATAGATAAAATCGAGCCCATTCAGGATGATGTGCACTGTAATAGCTATCCATCATGCATTTTTTTACTGCAGAGTGTTGTTGTCCAACACTGGAACACTAACAATAATAAAACACTATATAAGACTTCGTGTTACTCCTCTTATCAGGTTGACCTTTTAGGATGAAACCCTAGGTCTTGACATGGTATCAGAGCCAAGTACGGTTGTGATAACCATGTATTTATCTAAAACAAGAGTGAAATAAATATATGTTTTCTATGACACATTGTCTACTATGCACTACTAGAAAAAGGGTCTACAGTGACACTAAATAAGTGTCACAAAAAGTTTTTCTGACACTAGAAAAGTGTCAAAGAAGGTCGGGAATTGTGACACTAAATTTAGTGTCACCGGTAAAGTGTCACTAATTTATGACACTTAAGTATCATAAAAAATTATGACAAAACAATATCACTTTATATTGTGACACATTAGTATCAATTAAATTTATGATACATTGGTATCACATAATGTTGATTATATATTTGTATATTTATATTTATATATAATTATTTATACACATGAAATATAAGATTATTACTTCAACATGACAATGTATGAAAAATCAAAAGGCGCTTTATTGAAAACAAAACGAATTATCATTTACAATTCAAATGTCATACACATTCCAACACAAACTCAACTAAATCTATAATAAACTAATTTCAGATCTTCTAACTCCTATAAGCTCCACCTATGACTAAATCAGTTGATCTTCAACATGAGACTATAGTGCTTCCTACTTGATGGTTTTTCAGTATCTGAAAGAAACAAAATCAAGTTACATTAGATAGATACATATGAAAACATTAACAATAATAAAAAGATCTTCACACGGACGTTAAGTCATATAGTAATACTAGTATTGCGACGTGTGATGCAGGAAAATGCCCTATGCTTTTTTTGATAGAATTAACTGAATGAAGTATAATTGGTTATTATAATTAATTTGTTTGAAACTAAAAAAAACAAATTTTATACACAATTCCCATCACTACTCTTGTTGTTTGTGGTGCTGCAACAGATATTAATTGATGAAAATTGATGAAAAAAAAATTGATGAAAATGAAATTTAATCAGGAGAATCAAAATCCATCTGACAATAAGGTTTATGTTGGCTATTCGCAATATCATATATTTAGCTAAATCCTAAACTATAAACCAGACCATAAAAAGATACTCAAGAGTTAAATAAAAAATTAAACAATACCTTCTTTCAACGGCCTTCTCCGATACCCTAAGCAACCAGTTAGAAAATAATAGACTTCATTTTATTGATCCACCCAAAGCATATAATAAAGAATACTTTGTACAAGCTAAGTTTTGTCAAGTTTTATGAAAGTTATAAACAAAAACTCCTAGAAACATTTTGCAAGGAACACATAGTTAAGTAATCTAAGATTATTGGGTAAACAGAATTCCATGATTAACATGACAGTTTTGGAACTTTATATTACCACAGAGTATTTCTTAAGAAGACTTGTAAAATCACCTAATTTTAGACCATCGTAAAATTTCATGTCTATTGGATGACCTATGATCCATGCTATTCAGAAACCTATATAGCAATAGGACTTCATCTTTCTCCTATCAGAACATTAAACCTAAAATATTTCCACTGACATCTAAATAATAGTCATACAAGTGAAGTTCTGGCCAAAACTGAATTTCCCCTTGACATTCCTGCAAAATTGGATCAGTTCTTACAAGCATATCTTTTACTTGATCCAAAAGATTAATCAGTATCAAGAAAGAACTTCAATCAATGGCCAATATTAAAAACAATATAAGCGTTAATGCTTACATTTTTTTTTGTGTTTAGACTGCACTGATTAGAGCATGCTTCGAGAGGATCAAAACCCTTGACAGCCTGTCATTTATGGCATACAAGCCAATTAGACCGGTAGATATTCCTCAAGTTGGCTATGATATTAGGGAGTGTTTGCGATGAGAAATGCTAAAACCCCTATTTCCTTTGCATTCAGTGGATCCTCCATGACTTCAAGCACACCCTCATTCAAATAGCTCTAGTTTTTTACACACGTGTTGCACGATTAGTTAAGTGCCCGATGTTATTTATATATGCGGTCTACATTTTTCTTATCGTTTTGGTCGGGATGAGACTAAACAATCCAAATAATATATAATGTGAATAAACCACTACACACGAATGCTATTTGGTTTTGCATCCTAACATAAGTCCTTCCAAATCTCCAAAACGTGATATCGTCAACGGCAGGTTGGAGGTTGCTTAAATTTGAATTCAAACAGGAGCAAAACCAAATCAACTCGAAGCCCAAATATCTACAAGTTTTATAGTACTAAAATAATGCTTAAAAGTCATTCTTTGAGGTAACAAGCATACCTCACCGCAAGAATATTTAGGTAGACGAAGATATACAGTATGACACAATCGAGCCTAATGTTGCTGTTATTCATTTAAGTGGGCACACTTTCAAACTGGTGGAATATAAAGAAAGATCCACTTAACCTCCAAATATAGAAACAACAAAACAGGCATTTGAGAAGTCTAATGATGTGCCTTTGCACGTAGCAGAAATAAGAAGCCGCTTGGATCCCCCCGAATAGTGAAACAATACGATCGGTGAGGCTGCAAAATGAAGAAAATTGCAAATTTTAGGATTGAAAATCAAAAGTATAGTAATAAGTAATTCAGTAGAATACCTTTGTAGCTGAATAATAACTATCTTGCAACATAATAGAAGTGCCCAAGTATTATTAAGAGGTGGTTCACATTTCACATGCACCTGAATAATTATAGCTTTAATCAAGTAGAATGTTTTGTATATATCACTTCACACATCACTCAATTGTAAGAGAATTTGTTGTATATAACTCATTCAGTAGTCTATGTCTTCCAGGCCTGCTGACATAATTGTTCTCAACCAACAACTCATACTTGATAATCATTTCCTCCCAAGCATATAAATATTAGTAAAGACATCAAAAGTATGAACAAAACAAACTGGAGTTTAACAATCTGAAAACATAATATTGAGTACAGAGTAATTAAGAGAGAAAGAATGGCTAAGAGAGAAAAGAAGAAACCCTCGATGTTACTAGTTCAGATTTAATCTTCAATGCGAAGAAGATGACGCTAAGAATCCAGCCAATCCACTAAAGCTAACAATATATCCACTGCTCTTTGCTCCCTATCCAGCCTTTGATTTCTGAGTTGCATCTTTAGCTGCAGCCATTATATCTGTCCCAGCCTGCAACAGAAACTAACCAGATCCGCTTTTTGAACTGCTCACAAATTTTACATTGAATAAGCAAAATAGGGAATTTGATTTGTTCTGCAGATAAGCAAACCTCCTTTGACCCCTCTACAAGTTCTGTTCCAGGAAGAATTTTAGGCTTTTCCCGTTTGAGACTGCTATCCAATATTCGCAAACAGAGTAGTAGGAGTAGAGAACATTAACAATAACATGAGAGAGAGAGAGAGAGAGAATTAGTCAATACTGCATTTCCTCGGGTGTGCAGCCACCAACATAAATATGAAGTCTGAAAGTTCACTACCGATTGATCTATATACAACAAATTCACTACAGACAATGAAAATATGAAGTTACCTCAACCGAATCTCAGTTAAGAGTTCAAGTTGTCCCATCCTTCTATCTGAAACACAACCTACATACCCAAATTATTTACATAGTATCACCGCCAATGCAAAAATGCATAATATTAGTGACTGTCATCCTGCTTCATTTGCACATTCAGATAAAATATGAGTTAACAAGTGATATAAAACTACAACTACGAGATAATTAAACAAGCAAGTGTAACGACATACAAGTTTATGAATATATATAAACTTTGTGTGAAAATTTTATATATAAGATATGATTCTAAAAAACTAGGATTATTGAAACAACTTTAAAAACTTAGCGTGAGATGCCATGCTAAGTCAACCCCATAAGTGTGTAATAAACTGAGATGATATAAAGAAGCTTAAAGTATTTTTTCTACTAAGACTTACTCATTCAAGGGAATACATAAGTATATGTTGGTTCAAGTTGCACTCGAATCGTAAAATACTTGGAATAAACAAAACCATACATTAATACTTAAATGAGCATCGAAAATCTTTACACTATATATTTTACCTATATATTGCTTCTAAGCCTCCCATAACATTATTACACTATATATTTAGCTAAATAACCTACATTCAAGCAAATTAGAGCTGTATTGGACGTTTAATCCCCCCCCCTCCCGATTTTGGCCTTAGGTTTTAATTAAATTATACTCGTATATGTAATTGAAGGTCCAGAAAATCGCAATTCTACTGCGAGGACCCAAACCCCTCTGAACACTCTATGAACAATGAGTAGATGGAAAAAACACATACCTAGAAATTGAGGGAAACTGCTAAACTCTCTGGCTCTGTCAAATAGTCGCACGAACGTGGAGGGGTAAAGCTTCTACGAACAAACGCCTGAGCTTCTACGAAAAAACGAATTGAAGAGGCCGGTAGAGAGTTAGGGTACCAAGAAAGATGGAAGAGGGGACATATTTGGCAAGAGAATCGTTCATAGTGGGGTGCGGCGGCTAGGGTTCATACGAAGGAAGGGGATGGGTAAAGGTGATTGAGGATGGGTGAGGGAGAAGTTGAGGACAAAATAGAGTGAAATGTTAAAATTTAAAGTGAAAATGGCCAAGTAAATTAAAAACAAACGGGTCTAGTGTCGTATAAAATGTTGATACTATTGCATCAGAAAACCATGACACTTATATGTCAAAAACAGCCTATGTAACACTTTTGGACAGAAAGTGTCACTAACTAAGTGTCACTATAAGCCAGTTTTGTAGTAGTGATGATATTATATTTAGAGAATATATAGCCTATACTCCCTCTGTCCCGGTGAAAGGTTCTCATTTTTCTTATTTGAGTGTCTCATTTAAAGGTTGTCATTCCATTTTAGGAAATAATTTATTCTCTTTAGTTACATGTATGTTCAAATTTTCTTTTCTACTCATTAAATGTCAAGTCTCACCATTTCTCTTCCTCCAATTCACTCACTTTAATTACCTTCACTTTATATGTTTACTTTAAAAAAAAAATCTCTTTCCTCTCTTTTTAACCAAATTATTTCATTTGATCATTTGCCTTAAAAATTGTGTCGTTTACCTATGGGAACCTTCCAACGGAGCAGGGGGAGTACTCCGTAATGGCAATCATAATAGTAAAGTTCAAACAGAGTTTCAAACAGGCTTAACTCAGAAGAAGGCTACGTAGTAGCAGCTAGATAAATTAAATTAGAAAAGTGCATATAAATGACTCCTGAATATAAATAACCTTTGTATGATAATAAATACTCCGTATATTAAAAAATAATTTTGTTGTAAACAAATTTTTATCTTGAAGACTCTAAAATATAAAACATAATTTTGTCGTACACCATTAGAAGGAAAGTTTTTTTTATCACACAAAATGAAATATTAAAATATTCTACTCCTAAATCAAGCTATATAATGTTGTTAATGATTCCACGCATAACAATCAAACTTAATTACATTAAAAGGAATGCAAAACTTGAAATCAGTATATTAAGTTAAATAAACCGAATATAGGCATACAAATAAGAATAACGATAATAAGTCAATAATCATGCATGCTCAGTCGATCGTCCTACTAATTAATAACATCCGATAAAAATATTTCTTGACTAATATATATAAATTATTTTTTGAAATAAAATCCGAGGAATAAAACGATTCAATAAAAGATTGAATTTCAAAAGTTAAATATACATTTTTCATGAAACATCAATGATTTAAGTCAATGCAAATGATTTAATTAGTCAAAATGATATCGTGCGAGTAAGATAATGAAGTTGTGAAGTTGTGAAGTTGTGTCCTCTAAAGCGCGAGGGTAAGATCATTATAGTTATGTTCGATATGTTTCTTAGTTTTGAATTCTTAGAACTTGTAGATTGTAGTTGATAGGTATCTGCTTCTTTAAAACAGGTTTCCTGTCCTCTGCAGCTATCCACTCTATAAATCAAATATCTATTGTTGAGTTTAATCCAACACGATATAGTAAATATATGTATGAATGTGTATGAACAAGCTCAGTTTTTACGTGGAAACCCGAAAGGGAGAAAACCACGGGACTTTTTAGGCTAATGTCCAAGCCCTCTCATTCTCATTAATCTCTCCTCACCATTTACATAGTACAATTTGAGCTCCATTTATGGAGTATTGAGCTAGCTAGCTAGAGAGAAATAAGGAAGAAGAAGCTAAGGAAGGGATCCCCAAAACATGGAGGGAAGCCTCATATTTATAGGGGAAAGGGGAAGGGTGCTCTCCACCCTAATGGGCCAAATACGGGCCTACTGGGCCAAGGTGGGCCGGATAGCCAGAATGGGCCGAAACGGGCCTTACCGGACGGGCTCCGTACTATATCAAGTCTTGGGCTCCTGAACAGTAACGGACCGGGATAATATATCCCAACACAAGTCCCCCAGTTTCTTGAGTGGTGAGTGCGCGAATCTGCTCGAGAAAGTATATTCTTGCCTGCGCTCTACCTCTGCCTGGCTGGAACTTGTGTCTTCACATAATCATAACATATGAGTGGGTGTTTGCACTCCTGAACGTAATCTGCCGGTGGGGCACCCCCCTTCCCGACGGGGTCGGGCGAAGGGTGCTCCTGCACGGGCACGCTCCCCCTGAATGCATCAGGCGGGAGTAAAGGACTCTGACTCGAGCTTTCCAATCGGAGAAAGCTTAGAGGTCCATCATCTATAAACCGACGTCGCGGTACTGTCAAAACATGATGCACATGTGTATGTATGAATGTATGAGGTATGATGCATGAATGCATGAATGCATGTAATGTATGGGTGCAATGTATGAGAGAAGGAATGCGAGATGTGATAGAAAGCGGTGGCTCTCATCGATAAACCGGGCATGTCAGCACCGGGAGGCAGACGTGCCGCATAAGACGGTCATCGCCATCCCAGAAGGAATGGGCGATCCGGAGATGAACTTGACACAATGGCACGGAGGGGCCGATTGTGCTGCATAAGACGTTCGTCGCCACCCTGGAATGGATGGACGAGCCGAACGTGAGCTGGGTAGGATGGCGCTAAGGGGCCGATCGTACTGCATAAGACGGTCGTCGCCATCCTGGAGGGAATGGGCGAGCCGAACCGTGAATCTGGACACGATGGCGCTGAGGGGCCGATCGTGATGCATAAGACGTTCGTCGCCACCCTGGAAGGGATGGACGAGCTAAACGTGAGCTGGGTACGATGGCGCTGAGGGGCCGATCGTACTGCATAAGACGGTCGTCGCCATCCTGGAGGGGAATGGGCGAGTCGAACCGTGAATCAGGACACGATGGCGCTGAGGGGCCGATCGTGATGCATAAGACGTTCGTCGCCACCCTGGAAGGGATGGACGAGCTAAACGTGAGCTGGGTACGATGGCGCTGAGGGGCCGATCGTACTGCATAAGACGGTCGTCGCCATCCTGGAGGGAATGGGCGAGCCGAACCGTGAATCTGGACACGATGGCGCTGAGGGGCCGATCGTGATGCATAAGACGTTCGTCGCCACCCTGGAAGGGATGGACGAGCTGAACGTGAGCTGGGTACGATGGCGCTGAGGGGCCGATCGTACTGCATAAGACGGTCGTTGCCATCCTGGAAGGGAATGGGCGAGCCGAACCGTGAATCTGGACACGATGGCGCTGAGGGGCCGATCGTGATGCATAAGACGTTCGTCGCCACCCTGGAAGGGATGGACGAGCTGAACGTGAGCTGGGTACGATGGCGCTGAGGGGCCGATCGTACTGCATAAGACGGTCGTTGCAATCCTGGAGGGGAATGGGCGAGCGAACCGTGAATCTGGACACGATGGCGCTGAGGGGCCGATCGTGATGCATAAGACGTTCGTCGCCACCCTGGAAGGGATGGACGAGCTAAACGTGAGCTGGGTACGATGGCGCTGAGGGGCCGATCGTGATGCATAAGACGTTCGTCGCCACCTTGGAAGGGATGGACGAGCTGAACGTGAGCTGGGTACGATGGCGCTGAGGGGCCGATCGTACTGCATAAGACGGTCGTTGCCATCCTGGAAGGGAATGGGCGAGCCGAACCGTGAATCTGGACACGATGGCGCTGAGGGGCCGATCGTGATGCATAAGACGTTCGTCGCCACCCTGGAAGGGATGGACGAGCTGAACGTGAGCTGGGTACGATGGCGCTGAGGGGCCGATCGTACTGCATAAGACGGTCGTTGCCATCCTGGAAGGGAATGGGCGAGCCGAACCGTGAATCTGGACACGATGGCGCTAAGGGGCCGATCGTGATACAGAAAAATAGTGATGATCATCTCATGGCCCTCGGCCTGTCGCGGCCCTCGGCCGTGCTGATGATGTGTCAAGTCTCTCTCCTGATTGGCTGTGAGAAGCCGATCGTCTGCCAGGACTCCATCCGGGAAGGAATGGTGAGCCTGAAATAAATCTGGGCGATGTCCCTCCTACCTGATCTGGGGAGCTAATCGTCGTTCGTCTACCGTATCCGTGGTCCTATGTACGGACCGCTAAGCGGTGTACACTCGGTACGCAACAGACTCCGGTGGAGAACTGGTCCTGCGTGTCTGACCCATGGGGCTGGTCTTCGTTCGTCTACCGTATCTGTGGTCCTATGTACGGACCGCTAAGCGGTGTACACTCGGCACGCAATTAGACTCCGGTAAAGAACTCGATCTTTGTTCTTCCCAAGTCTCGTGAGTACTGGTCTCCTGGTTTTGCAGGAGACGTTCGTCATCCCAACTATGAGAAGAAACAGGTTTATCCACGTCGGGATTCCCAATTCTTCGTTCGTCCCTGTCGTGGTCCTACTAATCTTCTTACTTCGAAGAAGACGTTCGGTCATCCAACGATCGCAAGGAGGAACAGGTTTATCCACGTCGGGATTCCCTATTCTTCGTTCGTCCCTGTCGTGGTCCTACTAATCTTCTTACTTCGAAGAAGACGTTCGGTCATCCATCGATCGCAAGGAGGAACAGGTTTATCCACGTCGGGATTCCCTATTCTTCGTTCGTCCCTGTCGTGGTCCTACTAATCTTCTTACTTCGAAGAAGACATTCGGTCATCCAACGATCGCAAGGAGGAACAGGTTTATCCACGTCGGGATTCCCTGCTTCGTCGTCCCATGCTCGTGGCCCTACTAGCCTTCTGCTTTGGCAGAAGGTGTTCATCGAACCACGGGTCATGGGAGGAACTGGTTTATCTTGCCGAGGTTCCCTTTGGTACGTCTAGCCCCCCCATGTTCCTACTAGCCTCCGCGTCGGGAGACGTTCGTCATACGCGGCGAAGGAAGATCAGGCATACCTCGTCAAGACTCCCTCTTTCATAGGATCTCATCTCCCCTTCTCCCCATTTTTTTTTCTCTTTTTTTTTTGAGGGAGGAAAATACGTTCGTCGGTTCCAAGAATAACCACAAGTGATGTCACACATAATGTCATGCGAAGGCGATGGTCACCCTCCTGAAGGGAGGGGTGAGCCCGATCGTTAACTCAAGAAGGTCGGCATTGGGAGCCGATATACAATGATCATAACGTCGCTGAGCAGTCGGTCCTGATAATGGAGATGACAATAGTGTCCGGTCAGGCCGATATATCCGAGCAACGGCTCTAATCCAATGCAGCGCGGGGATGAAACCGGTCTTCAAACGATAAATATGTCGTGCCGAGAGGCCGAACATAACATGATAGTGTCGGCAGTGAGAGGCCGATCGTGATATAATAACATCGGTAATGAGAGGCCAGTCTGAGAAAACAAGCAACGGCCGTCATCCGCGAGGAGCGGGGATGAAACCGGTCTTCAAATATGGAAAGCATGCCGAGCCGGGAGGCCGGTCGTGATATAACGGTGTCGGCAATGAGAGGCCGATCTGAGAAAACAAGCAACGGCCGTCATCCGCGAGGAGCGGGGATGAAACCGGTCTTCTAATATGGGAAGCACGCCGAGCCGGGAGGCCGGTCGTGATTTAATGGTGTCGGCAATGAGAGGCCGACCTGAAATCAAGCAACGGTCCTCATCCACGCATCGCGGGGACGAGGCCGGTCTTCAAATATGATGATCATGTCGTGCCGGGAGGCCGGTCATGACGATCTCTTCTAGGCCCTCGGCCTCTGAATGACGGGTGGTCGTCTCACGGTTCTCTGTCATGGCATTCGCCTCTAGACCTCGGCCTCTAGGTGTTCTTCCTAGGCCATCGGTCTCTGGGGTGGAGATGCTCGTCCCACTGCTCTCAACCGTGGTGGTCTCCTCTAGGCCCTCGGCCTCTATGTGGAGATGCTCGTCTCACGGTCCTCAGCCGTAATGGTCTCCTCTTTAGCCGGCCCTGCACGTTTTCAAGGCTCGGGCCGAGCGTCTTCTGATCATTTCACTCGAGCGCGTCGAGCGACTTCAGCTGCGCAATAAGCATGGTAACGGGCCGCACGGCCCGACAATATGTATACACACATAACCATCTGCATGGTTTTCTTTCTAACACCCACGATTACCGGCCTATGGGTCATCGTGACCCTCGGCCCGGCTCATCGTGCGGGGTTAATGGACGTAGCAGCTCGCGGCGGGGCCAATTAGCAGCCCGCCGAACGTCACATAGAGACATTCATCGGTCTGTGAGTTTTCAAACTCAGACCCAAGTTGGTCGCACCGCCCCCGGAAAAACGAGGTTGAGTGCTTTGGTGCCCTCGGGCCCCATAGGCCACGTTTGGCAATAGTCATTTCGCGCCTAATGGCGTAGATTACATTGGGGTATGATCGTCGATCGGGCACGTAGTGCCATGCGGACTAATGCGCAACCCTCAAATTAAAATGCGTCGTCGGGGCATCGCCCTTCTGGAGACGCTCGGATCACTTAATCAAAGCTGATCGAGAGTGGGCCAACGGCCCCACAGCAATTAAACATTTAATAAAAAGTTGGCCGAACCCACCATCATTAGAGCTTCGCTCCACATTATTTAATTCGGGACATTTTATCCCTAATAAATAATAGTGATTTAACAGGTAATAGCAATGATATTATCCTACCAAAGGCCATTCAGGTACGCTCCGCTCGCTAATTAAAGCCGATTGGGAGCGGGCCGACAGGCCCACAACAACAGTCATTAAATTTAAATGACTGTTAAACTACTTATCACAAGAGAGTTGCCCGACATTATTTAATTTTGGGAGATTTAAATCCCTAATAAATAATGGTGATTAAAAGTATTCGCAACAGTAATATGTTAACAATTAATGTGCTCAAATTGAAGTGTTGGTAAGAGTACTTAGCTGAATAGGCTCGGCCAGACTAATACGGAGTATCACGGAGTGGTGAAAATTGAGCTCATTTCCCTCAATTTTGACTTGGTCCAAATTCCTTCAAGGAGATTGACCCCCCATTGCTCAGCCTCCAACTTGGAGACGTGGTCTTCTTGGGACCAAGACAATCTGAACGGTACTCCATCTCCTGGGACCTCGGCACATCGATCCAAGGCCAGACTGCCCTGTCGGCTACTCACCGCGGGAGGCACAGCGGAGCAAGGATGGCGACATGGTCTGGGTTCGGTGGGAGGCCTGCTTATTGAGCCTCGAACATACCTCCCTGAGCTCCGAATCTCCATTAATGGAGGAAACCAAGGAGTTCTCAGCCGGCCTATCCCTCAGGCCGCATTAGTAGAGTCGTGGAGGCTCGAGCTGCGACTGGCCAGGTGGAGGGATGACCAGCAGTTCACCGGCGACGAAGGTGGCGGTGTGGCGACGGAGGCGGTGGCCGGTGGAGCCACGGTGGGCCATGAAACACTCTGTTGCCGGCGGCGTTTTACCAAGAACAAAGCGGCAAGACCAATGGACGCTGCAGTGAGATTCCCTTAGTGTAGCTAAACTCACCGGAGGGCCCACGGCGGCAGCTCCGGTAACCCCAAACTAGATCTGAAAAAATCCAGCTTTGGACTTCTCAGAATCCATAGCTTCTCCTCTCCTCTTCCTGCTAGAATCAGTAGCTTCGTCCTTAATTTTTGTTGTTGAAATCAGTAGTTGTTTCGTATGAATTTTGTGTAGAACACATGAATCTTTTTGGACAGATTCCCACAGACGGCGCCAGTGTTGAGTTTAATCCAACACGATATACTCCCTCCGTATCTTAAAAATCTTCTCATTTTCCTTTTTCGTCTGTAACAAAAAAATCTTCCCAATTCTAAATCTTCTCATCATACCCTCAATAATTCTTACAATAATACACTATTACAACTACTTTTTTTTGGATTTATCCTACATTCCACCACATTATTCCACCATTTTCCCATCATATCCTCAATAATTCATATCATCTTTCACTATTCTTAATCTACCTACTTTTGAAATGGGAAGATTTTAAAGTTACGGAGGGAGTAGTAAATATATGTATGAATGTGTATGAACAAGCTCAGTTTTTACGTGGAAACCCGAAAGGGAGAAAACCACGGGACTTTTTAGGCTAATGTCCAAGCCCTCTCATTCTCATTAATCTCTCCTCACCATTTACATAGTACAATTTGAGCTCCATTTATGGAGTATTGAGCTAGCTAGCTAGAGAGAAATAAGGAAGAAGAAGCTAAGGAAGGGATCCCCAAAACATGGAGGGAAGCCTCATATTTATAGGGGAAAGGGGAAGGGTGCTCTCCACCCTAATGGGCCAAATACGGGCCTACTGGGCCAAGGTGGGCCGGATGGCCAGAATGGGCCGAAACGGGCCTTACCGGATGGGCTCCGTACTATATCAAGTCTTGGGCTCCTGAACAGTAACGGACCGGGATAATATATCCAACATCTATAAATGTCTAAGATTCAATTCACTCGTCATTGATTTTGACGTCTTAATAAACACAAACACTTATTGACACAATATTTAACCATTTCCTCTTGAATAATTAATTTCATAAGTTCACAATTCACATCACTATATTGTCGGGCCTTGGTCAAAGTTTTATCACATTTTTTGCAACAATACAAATCTTAGTTGTGGGCATCTTATTGTTACATGTATTGTGTTCAAAAGTAAGTTTCTTAGATTGATAATATTTTAGATAATCAAGCTATAGACCCACTATCCATGTTGGTTGCCCTTAACCATCTTTTCTCATATAAATTTCTTTTTAATTACCAAAAGCATATAAGGATAAGAATGGAGATAATGTTCAATTATATTA